ATTTGTGTAAGCGCCCAATTTTCATATGTGGGATAGACCTTTTATACGAAAAACATTGGGATTTCATCATTTACAAGTTTTATTTTTCTGTAACATAGTATGACCACTATGGTAAAACGTCGTACGTTACCATTTCTTCTTAAATTTGTTCGTAGTGGCCAAATTTAAATATTTAAAGAGGTGCTTACAATATTCATCATTCAACTTTAGCTGTGCCTCCACCAGGAATGCTGTTGCTATCAGCAACAGTCTATCTCACAAACCTAAACTTGGCAAGAAAAGAGTTGGCATCAATCATAAGCGGCTGCATAAGGTTTATGAGCTCCAAATAATTTATTACCGGTAAGTTAATAATTTGGAAGAAAATAAAGCTATCACGGAGGAAACAAATAGTACATCGCTAATTTATCTTGAGATGATTGCAAAATGTAAATTGAGAGCATAAACGAAAGTATAAGACCTGAACGTGCAAATTCAGCAGATAGTGAGAAATAAAAACTACAATGCCAAAAATCAATTTTGGGTATTTTGCCATCCCAAAAGCAAGTTTACGTGATCCAAAGAGGACATAGAATCCAGAAGCCACGTCAATCTTCGACTGCTCTTCCCTATCATAAATCAGAACATAGCGTTAGAAAACATCAACTGTGATATGTGAAAGAAAATAATTGGAATCGGTATAAGCTCAAACAATAGGCATAAGATGCAGATTAATTATACTGGACCAAAAACAATACCCAACATTCTGAACTTGTAAATGAAGCTGATGCTCAACGCAAAAATACACGTTTTTTGTTTAAATATATGTTGGTTGAAAAAATTATTATTGTTATATAAAACAAAATTTAATGGCTGTCTCCGTGCTATACGGAGCACGGAGACAGAAGCAATGTCTCCTTGTGCGCACACGGGATCTCCGTTTTTTTTTAAACACCAACTCTATCCCTAAGAATATTATTTTAGCGTGTATGATATGTACTATAACGAATGTAGTACAAAAAATTTTAATTTGACAATTAATAACAAGGTATATAAATGTATTTTGGTACAGACAGAAGCATAGAATTGGATTGATGAATGCAAAGTGAATACTCTAATAAAATAATCAACAACATCAACACCAAAGATTTATATCTGTTTGCCTCGTTTTTTTCTTAGGATCAAAACATATTAATCATGAGCTAAACTTCATAGCATAGTTTCAAAGATATAGCCTACTGTATATAAGACGTAGTAACTCATTTTCTACGGAGGGAATAGCAAAAGTCTTCTCTTTTGATGCTTGATTTGCAAAATTTGCAGCATGTCACACACACGATTTATCATTTCCTTAATCCTCTTGCAAAGTCATTGTTGCTATGGCTTGACCTTATGGATCCATCAATAATGAGTAGTTTCTTCAAGAAAAATTTGAGAGACGAAGCAAGATTCTCAATTTTGACCCTAAGCTCTCCATTTGGGAGCTATTTGTAAAAAATTAATGAATAAATAAAAGAGCAATCCAAAAAGGTATCACAGATGATGATGTTAGCCACAAATAATACACAACTTTTCCACTTATTCGCTAGAATAAATATATGTAAATTTTCGAGAAATTCATTTGTAAACATGAAAGATATTGAGCAGGTAAAAACAAAATTTGTCAGGATCGAGCATGTGATGCGGTCTGCAGGCTTTTAGCTGGTGAAGAGAAAATGAAAAAATGTTATTAAAAAAAAATCGCTTGTGCGGCCGGGGACACCTCCGGAGACATCGTCGTGCCTCCATCCAAGTAATGCAGGCATAGTTTGCCTCCATCCACACTTGGATGGAGGTATGATGCCTTCATTCACTTGGATGGAGGCATGGGCACCATGCCCCCGTCCAAGTGGATGGAGGCATCATGCCTCCATACTCTAGGCTTCAAACCCTATACACTCTTTACCTGAGATGTCAGAAACATAAATCATATCCAATCTAATCTATATAACAAATACCAATTGAATAACTGACCACATGACATTTATTTACCCTTAAAAAATATGAAGTAACTTCCTTCAACTCTAAGGAAAAAAATTCCTCATTAGATTTGTTTTCCCCTTAAT